TGGGAGAAAAACCTGAAGAGTAACTACCTGAAACTGCACTCTCGTGGCATCATCTAGAAAACAACCATGCAAATTTTGAAAGGAAATTTTCAGAATTTTTTACAATTAAATAGAAATCTTGGCTAAAAGTAGTACAGTAAAAAGCCCAAGAAGTGAGCAAAGTCAAAGTCAATTTCTGAAAGTCCTCAAAGGTAAAGCCTACCTACTAGAAGATGTAATAGAGTCTCGTATGTAGATTTGGCCAAGTTTGCCTCAGGTCATAACAAGGCAACCAGGCTGAAAAAATGCCCTTAACAAATTACAAATTAAAATGGACAACTGCCTGAAAGACGTATTGATCGAGTTTTTTTACCATATAGTTGGTTCTAAAATATGAATTTATGAATGACATAACTCCATTATTAGGTTTTGAACTATTTGTACAAGGTCTGTCTGGAAAAAGTCCAGCCATTGTTAATATAATGCGAACAGTTTGCATGACATCAATGTAACCTGGCAGCCAAGGAGAATGGACTGGAATGCATATGCATGAACAATGTCAACTTCACTGTACTAGTCAGTGGGGGCAGTAGACACCATTGATTGAGCAACAGATCTGCATCAAATTTTGCACTAAGCTTGAACAGTTCTCTGCGGGAACTATTTGGTTGATTCAGAAGGCTGCAGCTATGGGCAACTCGTGATCAGCAGCTTCATCATGACAACGTGCCCACTTGTGCATCACATCTTGTGCCGTTTTTTGGTGAAACATCAAATCACCCAGGTGACTCAGTCCCTCTGACAGCCCAGATTTGGCTCCCTGTGACTTCTGCCTTTTCCCAAAAGTAAAATCACCTTTGAAAGGGGAGAGATTTCAGACCATCAGTGAGATTCAGGGAAAATATGACTGGGCAGCTGATAGCAATTGGGAGATTCAGGGAAAATATGACTGGGCAGCTGATAGCAATTGGGAGAACTGTGTGAAGTCCCAAGGTGCCTACTTTGAAGGGGACTGGGGCATCATTGTCCTGTGCACAATGTTTCTTGTATCTTCTTCAATTAATGTCTCTCTTTTCCATATTACATGGCTGGATACCTTCTGGACAGACCTCATTTATCTATTTTTATATTAATTTGTAAAATCCTTGATGGTTTAAAAAACTGAGCATTTTTCAACAATGTATGTGATGGGTCTTTTTTGCCAATATGGTATTACTAATGGGTGCATGGTATTGGGACTATGCTTGGTCAGATAAGCTGGCAGCCTTTAGGAACAGGCCTGATGCATACCCTCAATGTGCTGTCAGTCACCTAGAACTCCTTACCTTAAAGAGTTCGTCTCTAGATTTTCTTCAGTGTTCAGTGGAGTAATAAAAGTGGAAACATTTCGTTAGGAGTATAAAATTGAACCACAAAGCAAAAAAACCCATCTTTTCAGAAAGATTTATAAAGACATTAAAAGTGAGTTTGTTCTATGACCCAGATTGGCTGGGATTATCCAGGGAAGGTGATAAGAAACCAGAATCAAATTGATATTTTTTTTCCTCGTGGAAGTGTTAAAGTATACCCTACACCATTACTTCCATCCTCCACCTTGGTATCATCTAAAAGATTATTTTTTTGTAGTTTCTACCACAAATCACTTGTTTATTCATGGCCCTAGTCATTGATTCATCCTCAGAAACAGAAGCAGCCTGCCAGATCTTTGGGTGCTTTGGAGCAATAACAGATGGAAAAAAGGGGAAGGGAAAGCCTGAGGTTGCTTATCTCACCCCCATCCCCACTCTTCACCTCTTTTCCCAGCCACATATGTGTTTTTTAGACACATCATTAGATCCTTCATATCACAACAAAGGGGAAACTCCCAAAGTTGGCCTAATTAACAGATATTTGTCTGAGGATGAACACTCAGTCAAGAAAAAACTATGTTTTTACTGCAAATGACAAATTTACAGTGAAAATGAAGCTTGAGTGTTGGAAGTGAAAGAATTGATTATGGAGAGTTTTGGTTGTGTGAGACTCTTAAATTTACATGCAATTAAAATGAACAGCATTATCAACATCCTGTTAGATTAACTGTCCTCTGATTAGCAAAAGACTAACAAGAAATCAGAGAGACAGATTCTACCCCATGGCACAAGCAACATGACCTCCCAACAAGAAAATTAAAGTCTGATACGTAACATACTGAAATTTCCAACAACAGCAGCCTGAAAACATTGCACAGGTCACCTCTTGGAAAGTCATCAAAGCCTCACCTGTTAGCAATTACTGTAGCTAATAGAACAGTAAAATTTTTGCTCTCTGCACCTACCTTTTGAGCCTTGGTTCTCAAAATAGGGTAAAAGAAAAAATTGCTTAGAACACTGAATCTAACATACAGCATCAGGAAATTCAGCCTAGTTTCCAGAAATGGATAAATCTTGATTATTTTACATATTAAGGTATTAGGTAGGAAATATTATTTTCTCCTTGACAGGAAGTAATTTTAAAATACTGTTTTCATATTAAAACCAAAATATCTACTACACAGTAGCATGAAGAATGAGGGTGAATTTTTAAGATCAATATGAGATTTAAAATTTTTACATTTGGAAAGCTTCAAACTATTCATTGTACTCTGCCTTAAGAAACTTGTGTGGAAAAGTTTTTTTTAGAAACGTTGTTTAAATATAAGATTGAATTGATTTAAGACACTATAATAATACAAAAGGAATTAAAACACACTCTTTCCCTTTTTGTCATCATATGTGTAAATCACTCAGTTCCCATCTCTTCCATGAAGTCCTCAGGCTCACCTGGGCTCACAGAGCAGGCTGTGGTTTGCTCTGAATTGCTTCCATGCCTGTATGCATCCACAGCCATGATATACCTGGCTAGGCTACAGTAGACACTTGTTGACCAAGGGTCATGGTAATGTTATTTAGGAACTTTGACTATAGTTTGCTGCAGCCCAGGCCGAATAGCTCAGTTGGTTAGGCCATTGTCCTGATACCACCAAGGTTGTGGGTTTGATCTTCAGTCAGGACACATACAAGAATCAACCAGTGAATGCATAAGTAAGTGGAACAACAAATCAATGTTTCCCGTTCACTCTCCCTTCCTCTCTAAAATCAATAAATAAAAAAAAGTGTAACATTTCTTACTACAAAACAATGGCTTAGCTCCAAAAGGGATCCAGAGGCTGGTTTTTGCACTCTGGCATATTATTCATTTGTAGCACTGCTCATTGATTTCTCAACAAAAACGCTGTTAGTCTATCCATCATTTCTCTGGGTGATGGAAACTGGTGATGGAGATTGTGGGGTTAATTGCCTAGCTAAACAAGCTTTCCCCATTCTGCCACTTTTTCAACTAGGTACATGTGCTCCATCTCCCACCATCTATATCACATTTCCATAGTTGCCAGGCCCTAGCGCATAGGGCCATACCTTCCTCTCACAGAAGCTGGAGACCCTCTTCACAGTGGGTGCTCCTTCTGAGGCCCTTGGACTGATTCAGAGCCAATAGAGCTCCATTGAGGTCACTGGGCCTGTGTTCTTGCAGACTGCCTACAAGGCACTGCCGTGAAGAGTTGCCTCAGCCCTAGCTGGTGTGGCTCAGTGGATTGAGCACCAGCTTGTGAACTGAAAGGTCACCGGTCAGATTCCCAGTCAGGGCACATGCCTGGGTTGCAGGCTAGGTCCCCAGATGGGGGCGTGTGAGAGGCAACCAATTGATGTTTCTCTGTCCCTTTCGCCCTTCTTCCTGCTCTAAAAATAAATAAAATCTAAAAAAAAAAAAAGTTGCCTCAGCTAAACATATCCTTCCTTTCCCCCCCACAGACATAACCAGTGCGGTGCAATCCAAGCGAAGAAAATCCAAGTAAACAAGCTGGACAGCGACTTGATACTTGTAAATGTGTGTGAATTTTACAAAAAGCAATTTTGAGCTGTGACTTTTTAAAATCCATTTCTGTACAGCGAGTCATTTTAATAACGTGGCCCTTTTTCCTAGTCCCTGCAACCTGTTTCGTAAAGTGCAATGAGGAAAGCAGAACTGTTGAACCCTTTTGGTGTTGATGAAGTTCAAGGTTTCTAAAATGTTGCCATGTATTGAGAGGAGCTAATGCGATTCTGTTATTAGTTTTCACATTTCCTAAGCAGCCTAGAGTACAGGGTGAGCATTTTTAGATCTTCTAATGATGTATTGTGCTGTGGAAGTACTGTGTGAATAGCAGTAGTGGGGGGCAAAAGGAATCGTCTCATTTGGAAATGTAAATAATTTTATTATATAGTGTTTTGGATGTATTTGTTGTAGAAATGGACCAGTGAATAAAGAGAATCTAAGGATTTGTACAATGTGAAATACTGAATGTGTTAAATAAATGTCATTGTCCTAGAACATAAATGTATGTTATTGGTAGGGGGTTATTGGGTGAGCAAGCTGTTTTCTTTGGATCGTAAGTGAATAGGAACAGCCTTCTTTGTGAATTAGAATCCCACATTGTCCTGATTGCACCTGAGAGGCACCTGGCAACCTCAGGCAGGTGTAACATTCTTGCTCCCTCAACTCTTCTTGGCTTTGAAGAAACTAGCCCTTTCAAACACTGTACTGGGCACTTTATATGTTGGTCAAATTTCTTTTGATTGCATATAACAATTGAGAGAGGATCAAAGGTCACCTACAATTTTCTAGGGACAGGAAGTCATCAGAAACTCAGATAGCACTTTTTCTCCACCTTATGCAACTGCTTCTCCAGGTTTGGATTGCTTCAAACCAACTGTTAATACCTCCTCCATTCAAGAGATAAGCCCAGCCTGACCAGCAAGATTCTTTGTAACAGCATCAAGAATCTAGCCCAGTCTAGGTCAGCGTTCCACCACAGTCCAGCTCTGTGGTTAAATGGGGCAGTTCCCAAATAAAAGCAGTCATTACATGTTACATACTTCAAAACTGTCCACTACATTCCACTCTGGCTGCCCTGTAACATCTGCATCAGGCTTAGGGGTGACTTACCATTTACATGCCCAGGCTTTTCCCTTCCCTGGCTCAATTCTTACATAAAAATTTGTAGTCTACAAACCAGCTGCTTCTCTCCCACCCTAACTGCTATCTACCTTCAAGGACTCAGATGCTTGGAGCTCTGTTTTTGTCTTGGTCTGGGTCTCAACCTTCTGTGTCTCCTATGTCTAGACATATATCCCATCCTTTCCCCTCAGTAGCTCCTTGCCTTTGCCATAATCCAATGACAGGCCAAAAAGATGAGTTGGTGATTCTCCGTCACACTCTTATTCTCATCTCTATTCTATCTTACTCTATATGTCTCACATTACAAGGATCCTCTAAAAGTAGTTAGTTATGAGCCAGACCCCACACTGTTCCCAGCAAGCTTATCTGCCCTCTTCCTTCCCTTATGATACACACAAAAACCAAAGCCAGCCTGATGATAATGCTTTCTGCCAATACTGTGCTTAAGATTGCAAAGTGCTTCTCCTACTTTAGTCAGGCAGAAAGCATAATGTGCTTTAAATAGATTTTTATTTGTTTTTTCTTTATATTTTTTTCTCCCATAGAGGAATAACATTACAGTCTAACAATCAGAATCCTGTTACACACATACACAGGCATGCCACGTGACTGTGTTGAGGTGGTTGTGTCCTTGAGTCTGTTGACATGTCATAACATGGTCAACCAGAGTCTCCTCATTTCAGCCCGTCTCAACACAAAACACCCAAGAGGGATGCACTCAACTTGGTTCCATTTGGAACTAGGTGGCAGGGCAAGTAGGAAGATATAAGGGGTTATAATGTGTCTGCATTCGGTCCCCTCACATAAAGCCACACGGATATGAGGAGGCATCCAAGGGCTCTAGTGGGGTCCTTATTGCACCTAAGATATTATGGGTCAAAGCAAATTGATCAGGGCACAGGCAGGAGCTGGGGAGCAGGCATACTTCAAAACGGCATCAAACTGCATTCATACACATGTGATACCCTGCTGGGGCCAGACTGGCAAAGGCTGGAAAGTGACACCCAGCTTGGAGAGAGCACTCAGACATATTGGGGAATTATTGTAAATTGCCCTTTGATGTAACTGGGACTCACTCTAGAAACGGGTCCCTCTGACATACTCAGTTTTGGCAAAGTGCTGGTAGTATTGACAATTAATACTCACAAACTGGAACAAACTTCTCCAGGGTCTCTGAAAACATCAGTCAAGACAGACTCTCTAACCCCCCTCCTGTCTAAGGTTGCATAGGACTTTGTGAATTCTGGTTCCCTCATATATTCAAGTTCTGTGGTTTAAAAAAAAAATCCTGAAGCATGCTCAAGGTGAAAGGCACATACACAGTCAATACAATATGATGAGGTCTGATGCTTCAGGAATCAGACTAGCAAGAGACCGAGTAGTGTTGGTTCTTAGAAATCTATACACAATTAAAATATTGCCACACTCAAGTGCTACAGAATCTATAGGAAAGTACAAAAACCTATAAGCCTTTCAACCAGCCAGGTGATGAGATTGGAAGATTCTAGAACTACAGGAGCTCCAGAAATATGGGTAAGGAAGGGCCTTTTGATATTTGAGCCTAATGTCCTATTACTACTCTTACCCCATCAGAAAGATCATGGGCACTGCCCAGGACTGAGCCTAGGCCCCAGCTGGCAACAAAGGCGATAAAGCAAGAAGAGTTGGAGGAAGTTCTGACTCTTGAAAGTGCTGAAGACCCTAAGCTGGCTGTGAAGTGACCAAGGGGTAGCTGGAAGAAAAAAGTGACAAGGTCATAAACTGAGGGAGAATCTTGGAGAGAGAAGCAAGGTTGCCAACTACTGAGGCCCTAGTGGACTGGCGTGGGGGCTTTGATCAGTTTTTAGTATAGCTCTGGCTTACTCCCTTTGATAGGAAACCCCAACAGGGCTTCCTCTGTCCCCATCCCAACATCCGTTGAGCTACCCTCTCCCTTACCCACACATTCCACATGAGGCTTTGGGCTACAGGGTCTGGAAGGGCAGCTGCTGATGCCCTCATGGGAATGCAGAGTTATTTCCAAGCCTCTGCTCAACTGTGAGACCTGGAATTGGGGTAAGAGGGAAGACCTATGTTAGTATGTAACAGGAAATCTTAAAAGTTTTGAGGAAGAAAGAGCACACACTAGAAAAGGACAGTTCAAGAAAAAGGGAAGCAACTTGGGGCATCCCAAAAGGCTGTTGCTGGTGTCTGAGCCCAAAATTCAGTCCGGCCGTGAGAAGGGCAAAGCTGACTGCCCCTATTCCTTCTGTCTCACCCAGGGATTCAGGTTTCCTCCTCCAGGTATTTACTGGAGGAGAAGGGGAGGGGAACCTTAGGGTACCCATTTCTCCCCAGCAGCCTAGAAAGGAAGAGAGCACTCGGAGAAGATGAGGAGAGTCCCCTGAAGGCTCTGAAGCCGGGTAGGGACTATTCAGGGATTGGGACAGTGAAGCTCCTGGCCTCCTACCCAGGAGTGTTTATTAGCCATCCTGGGCAGGGTGTAAAATATAAAGCCAGAGGCAAGATGAAGGCTGAGCTGTCAAGCTTGGGGTAGGTTCACCCCACAGCTTGTCTTCCCCAGCATCATTCCTCTGCATTCTTACTCTGGGGTGTGCACTTTCCCTGCCTAGAAGCCCTCTGGCCTGCATCTCTCCTAAGCTAGTTCTAGCACCTTGGGCATGTGAACAGATAGCCAGGATGGCAGGGCCTTGCCCAGCCTCTACTCCTGGGGTGACATATTGGGGGTAGGGTAGCAAGGTATTAACTAAGCCTTTTCGACCCGGAGGCCTACAGAGGGGTAGATTTCAGGAAGGGATTTGGGAGTTGGGATTACAGGAAAGGGAGGTGAGGGCAGACTCAAGGCTCCAACCTGAGAGCAGGGTTTGGCCTCTCTGAGCACGCACACAGTACCAACTCCCATGGTGCCCTGCTTCCTACAGCTTCTCAACCTGTCTGTCTTGTCTATATTACCAATAGGCTCTCTCTTTTCCTCGATTCCATCCACCTTCTCCCTCTAATTCACATCTCACAGTCCTTTTCCACATACTTTACCTTTCTAGGCCTAAACAACTACAAGGAGCCCAGCCCTCAGGGGAGGAGGGAGGATGAAACTAAACATAGAAAACTTTAGTCTCAGCCCCCCCTCCCCACCCCATCTATTTGGGAGGGAACTACTGGGGATGAATAATAAGGGAGCAGGAGCGAATGTAGTGCCAAACGAGATAGGGTGAGGCTTGTAAAGAGGGATTTAAAGTGAGGAAAGAGCCAGATCTGCGACTGGAAGAGGAGACTCAAACAGGAGTGGGCCAGAGGTAAAGGACAGGAGGGCAAGCATGAAGGGGAATGTCAGTGCATAGATGAGGGTGGGGACCACAGAAGGAAAGAGAGTAGGGGAGATGAAGGGTTAGATGTTGGGCATGGGGGCCAGAAGGAGAGAGGGGGTGAAGGGCAGGAAGAGGTTCAGAGGCGGATTAGAGACTCAGAGATAGGGAAATCGAGGGGATTGAAAAGGGGGCTATCAGCCCACCTCACACACACTTAAGGAGGGAGGTTGTGGCATCCAGCCCCAGGTGGGCTGTGGGCGCCCCTTGAGCAACACACTGGCTGTGGCGGAGGAGCCTGACAGGGATCGGGGTCGGCAAGGGGTTTGTGGTTCGGCCGGCGGACGCTCAATAGTTGAACTGGCGCTGGCACGGCTGGTAGATGAAGTTGCCCTGGTGCTTAGGCCGGCGCTGACGGCTCTCGCGGGCGCGGTTCTGCCGTTGCATCACCTTGGCGCTCAGCGCATGACGCTCCGCCCGCTGACGGGCCCGCTGCAGCCGCCGTACCTGGCCCGCTTTCTCCAGCAGTGCAGCCCGCGCTGGCAGAGGGGCGGCTGCATGGTGCAGGGCCCGGGGCTCCAGGCGGACCGGCGCCAGCTCCCTGCGGGGATAGAGGACTCGTTTCAGGGCCGGGCCAGTGCAGCGCTAAAAGGAGCACTGACATCTCCCACCCTGTCCCTGCACCCTTGTCCTGGCGCAATAATGCCTCTGTTCATAGGGGCGCACCCAATGCCCTTCTTGAGGGTGCCAGCCCTTCCTCCAAGCCAATCTAGAGATAGCTCCTCGTGTTCTAGCCCCTGTGACAGGTGAAAACCAGACCCCAGGGAAGACTTCGCTCCAACTCGTAATTCGGCTCTTGCCTTTCTCTTAAGCTTCTGGAAGCCGCATCTCCTAGACATCAGCCCTGCCCCTCCAGCCTCTCCCAACTCCTAGCCACGCCTTTCCCCATTCAAAGCCCCACCCCTTTACCCCCAGGCAGGCTCTGATCCTTGTTCCCGACTTCTCGGCCTTTTGCCTGGAAGTCTCGCCTCTAAAGGTCCCGCCTCCTCAGTGCCTCCGGGGCGGTACCTGGGCTTGCTTGCCCAGCCTCCAGGGGGAGACCCTGGCCTCCTAGACACGCGTCCCTAGGACTCCACTCTGCCCCGCGCTCACCCATCCTCGCTAAGGTCGCCGTGAGGCAGGTCCGCGTCGGGGTGCGGGGAAGGGGGCCCAGGCTCCAGCACTATGGTGCTGCCGGTGACGTAAACAGACATGCTGGGGTGCTCGATGAGGAGGTCCTCCAGAGGGCTGCTCTGGAGGCGGGCAGGCCCGAGTCCAGGGCCCTCTGCAGTAAAACAGGCGGGAGGGGTAACAAACCAGCTTTCGTCCATCAAGGAGGGTGCGGGTGGAGGGCGGCCTGCGGGGGCAGGGGCTGCCCCGGGACTGGGCGGAGCCGCGTAGCTGTCTACAGGGTGCCGAAGGGGGAGCCATGCGAGGGAGGGGGTGCAGCCAGGAGGCACACACACGCACACACCGGACACAAGCGGGTGGGGAGAGAAAGGGTATCGTTAGTCAGATCCTCGGCCCTGCCCATCGCCCTCACGGGGCACCCACAAACCAGGAGCCTCAACCTAGTGTTCGTGGGCCCCAACATTGCACCTCCAGGAGACGACCTGGGCTTGCATGGGGTGTTACCCCACCTCCAGTGTCACTGCCTCAGCCCCAGTTTGCCCAGCAGGCCTTGGGGAATTCCCCAATCCCCTACCAGCTCCCGTCTCCTCCGCTGCTTGGCCACCTGACTTTCACAGGCCCAGGTAATCAGCCATAGCTGTGGTTCCCGACTTAGGCCTCACCCGGCAGGTCAATGATGAGCCAGCCATCCACCTCCTCGTCCTCGGAAACGAAGGCTTGGGGACAGTCGGGATCCTCAGGGGGCGGGGGGTTGCTGAAGAAAAGGCTGGTGAGGCGCTGGAACATGGTGGGGGAGTGTAGCGGCCTCAGGGGGGCGCTCTATAGCAGTGCAAAAACCTGAGAGGCATAGAGAGGAGTCAGAGCCACCACTAAATGACGTCTACCCCCACTCCTGCCTAGGGATATCACCCCAAGTCCCCATACCAGATCAGGGTACAACAGGGAGGTGTGGGGAAGATTTGCGGCATGTGTGCTTTCTGGTGTGTCAGCCTGCTTTCAAGCTTTTCTATTTTCTGTGTGACCGTAGGAAGTTATTTAACTTATCTGTGCTTTACTTTTCTCATCTGACAAATGGCAATGAAAACAGTACTCTCCTCTGGGCCTTTGTAAGAATTAAATGAGGCACTAGCTGATGTGGCTCAGTGGATTGAGTGCTGGCCTGCAAACCAAAGGGGTGCTGGTTCAGTTCCCAGTCAGGGCACATGCCTGGGTTGCGGTCCAGGTCCCCGGTTGGAGGCGCATGAGAGGCAACCACACATTGATGGTTCTCTCCCTCTCTTTCTCCCTCCCTTCCCCTCTCTAAAAGTAAGTAAATAAAATCTTTAAAGAAAAAAAGAAACTAGCAAATTATTAAAAAAAAAAAAAAAAGAATGAAAGGAGCCAAACACAAAGAGCTTAGAACAGTACCCTTTAATCAACTATTTAATATATTATTGCATGTTCTAGGGACATGGAAAGAGAGGTATATATGACCAGACTCTCAAGAAAGGTCTCCAGAAGATTGAACATCCAAGCTGGTCCTTGAAGGGTAATTAGGAGTTCTCCAAGCAAGGAAGAAATTGCCCAATGTTGTGGTTATTTATCATTATCCTAATATTGCTAACATTCATGTGCCAGGTACTATACTAAGCACTTTACCTATATTGCCTCATGTAATCTTCACAAATCTAGAAAGTGGGTATAATTACTAGTCCTTTTTTAGAGGTGAAGAAACTGAGGCGAAGAGAAGTAAGGTAACTTGCCCAAAGGCAGCACCCATAATCACTATATTCCATTGCCTTTGCTGGGTGTCTCTCTGAATTAGGCTTTTTTAACTTGGTGGCCAAGGGCCATGGTCCATGTGCATTTTTCTGGGGTGAAGAACCTTGGATTTCATCATGATTTCCTAAACAGCACTACTTGAACCCAGAGATTAAGAACCACAGAACCGTTTGATTGCACAGGCCTCAGTTCTGTTTGTGAAATGAGCTTGGAAGATCCTATTCCCACAGGCCCTCCCCCTTCTAACCCCCTACCCCCAAGCTCCTGCTCAAGGGCAGCATCCCTGGCTAGGAGGAAGATCAGGTTGCCTGGCCCCAGGGAGACAGCAGGTCATTGGGAGGTGATGGTAGAGGGAGGGAGCTATCACACCCCAGGAGCCTTTAAGGATCAGCGCTGAGGGTTAGACCAGGACTCAAAGCCTCAGTCAGCCCTTCCCTGGGTGAAGATAAGGAAGAGGACCCCTGCTTCAGGAATGCAGACACCAAGTAGGTGGCTATAAATCTGCTCCTCTCCCCATCAGGGCCCACTGGATGTCCCTAAAGCTTGACCCTCCATATTTGTCCCCTGAAGATGGTCAATAGTTTTGCTACTGAGCCACTTGTCACCTTCCTCGAAGAATGTTTCTGTACTTCCTATAGAACTCCCTGGCGACATGTCCATACTTATTGGGTTGGCCAAAAAGTCTGTTACATTTTTTCCATACTGATGGCTGTAGTAGTGCTTAGTTGTCTTTAACTTCATTCAAAACAATTTTGTTAGATTGTATTGTGACAGCTGTCATATAAGTATGCATTTAAAAAAAAAACCTACCAAAATTGGTGAATTTTTGTGCAGCCATTTTAATATTGAAGATGGAAGAAAATAGACATTTTTTTAGTATTATGCTTCATTATTTTGAGGGAAAAAAAGAAACTGAAATGCAAAAAAAAAAAATTTGTGCAGTGTATGGAGAAGGTGCTGTGGCTGATTGAACGTGTCAAAGGTAGTTTGTGAGGTTTCTCGATACTACTGACATTGGTACAATGCATAAGACAGACCCACTACTACTATTATGCTGTAGGGCTGTCTTATGCATTGGAAGATGTTTAGCAGCATCCCTGCCTCTACCCACTAGAAGCCAACAGAAGGAGATAGCCAACATACTCAAAATATCCAAATCAATAAAGTTATTGGTGAAAATGAAAATTGTCCTTTATGGGGAAAAAATGTAACAGACTTTTTGGCCAACCCCAGTACATTCCCTGAGGGCATTCTACTCTACTCATTAACCCACCTGGGGTATTTATGTGATTGTGACTATCTCTCCCATTCCCTGGGAGTGTTTTCACAATTGCCAGAAAATCCCTTAAGCTCCAACCCTGAGAGTATTTCCACATTTGGAGACCCACAATGAACTCCAGAAGGAAGTGTTTCCTGGGTGCTGAGTTCCCTGGTGGGAGATCTACGGGGATTATGAAAGGCTGGGCCATCCCACCAGTACCTGCCCAGCACAAACCACATATCCCAACCCGTCTGTAGCCACAGGGAGGAGTTAGTGATGTAGCTACAAAAAATCCAGAAAGTTTGGCCCTTCCTGAAGGAAGAGAAGATTGGGGCCTTGATGAGGAAGCCCCTCTTTCTAAGGACCTACTATTTTACTGAGAAAATGAAGTTAGGAGTTGTTTCAGGGACTATCATAGACACCAAGTCCATTTCACAATCTGAGGATCAGAAGATATAAATCTATCTAAAGGACACACAGCTGGATGGTGGCAGGGCAAGCCTAACCTCAGGCCACTGAGCCTCTAGTCCAGAGTTTACACAGAAAAACCTCAGCAAATAATCCTCCAAAATATTCAGATAGGGAGGGCAGATATGAATCAGACCATGATCACTGGTCTCCTCAGACCGCCCCCTCCCTGCCCAGCTATAAAAGGATCTGGGGTTCCTGACACCAAGGTTCATCATGCATTTACCAGAGCACCCACTGTGTACCAGAGTCTGCTCAGGGCCTCCTCAAATTACAGACAGATTGAGGTAAGGGAGGCTGGAGGTGGGGGAAGAGCTGCCTGCCCGAGGTCACACAGCAAGTCAGTGACAGAGCCAAGAGTAGAAGCAGCACCAGCCAGCTAGTGCCCGCCCCTCTCATGACCACTGGGGAGTCTCCCGGATTTTCTTTCCCAGCCCTGCCAGCTTCCTGGTTCTCACATTCCCAGCCCTGCTCCAGGGAGAACCATTCCCCTTAATAACTGCAGCAGCCGTGACCAGAATAACACTTGAGCCCCAAGCCACCTCTACCCAGCCCATCCTTGAGCAAAGCCCATCCAGCCTCTAGGCCCATCCACTTAGAAAGTCAGATGCTCTCCTCTCCTGCCCTTTCTCCTGCCCCTCTCAATGGGCAGAGAGGGGCAGCAGGAACCTTGTAATTACCAACACTAGGCCAGGTCATGTCCTTCTATCTGACAACTCTGGGGTTTGGGGAGGTGATGAAGGGCCAAACTCTTACCCTGACCCCACCTCAAAATCAGCCCTGGAGACACACTGATGCAGCCACTGACTCACCTTTTTGTGGTCAAAACAGCTGAGAAACAGCAATTTCATTAGGCTCTGGGTCTCCAAGGTACAGAGCGAGGGTCAGGGCCACAAAACGGGACCCAATCTCCAAAGAACTCCTGGAAAAAAAATCCAGGAGTGAGGAGACCTAGGAGCCCTATCAAATTTGGATGGTACTGGGCCCACGGTAGTGTCCTCAGTCATAGGAGGATATGTAACTTGTTACTTGTATTGAGTTCCTACTAGGCATGTGCCCATGGTTAATGCATCTGTTGCTCACTCAGTAGGCATGACTCTGATTGGCTTCGCGACCACAAGTAAGCCACATACCCTCTCTGGGACTCAGTTTCCCCTTCTGTGAAATGGGATCTAAGACCCCTAGTTTGGAGGATGGGAGCGAAGTCAGATAAGGCGCTGCACACACGTCAGGGATTAGGATGAGGTTATTATGTTAGACCCTGGGGGTGCGGAGCCTGGAGCCACAGGGAAGAGATTCCACCACCATCTGGCGCTGCCCCAACGACCCGGAGCTGGAGCTCCAGGCCTCCCTTCAACTCCTGACGACCCCCCACCCCGCCCCGAACCTAGACCCAGCAGCACAACCGAACCTCTCTGGAGCCGCAAGGAGAAAGTAGGTGATCAGAGGCCTGACCCCAGCCCCTGGATTAACCCAGGAAACTGCCAAGGCCCCTCCGGGCCCCGCAGCATTTCAGTGTCCCTCACCCAAGAAGCCAGCCCCAACCCAGCGCCCACCGGTCACGGGAGGACACGCGACCCGAGCAGGGGGGTGGGGGGCGGTGCCGGCCTTAGTGACGTCTCAATGTCAAATGCAAATAGAGAGACGTCACGGTCTACCGGGCAGGCAGCAGCCAATCGGGAGACGGGAATGCGGCCCCCGCGGCCGCGGGCGGAGACAGACAAAGACCCAGGAGGTGGGGGCGCACAGAGCCCCTTGGCTAAAGCTGGTCGGGACTCACCCGGGGACCCCGGCGGTGCAGCGGGCCGGTATCGCTGAGGTAGTGGTGCCGCGGAACGGCGAGGGGTCGGCGGCTGATCACGGGCCAGGCCGCATCCCGGGGGCTGGTCGAGGAGGCGGCGGAGCTACGCGTCGGACGCTCGTGGCTTGCTGCTCTCCCCCGCGGGGCTTTGAGTGTGTGCAGCCGCCGCCGCTGGGCTCGCAGCACAAATTGGAACGTTCAAACAGCTGATTGTTACGTCACAAAGGGGCCCGCCCGCCTAACGTCACTGGCGGGCGGAGCGGCGACCAATCCCAGGCTGCGGATTCCCCTCCCCTCCTCCTCTCCTCCGTTCCTCTGGCTAGTGGCTCCTGCCTGGGAGCCCAACTCCGAGCCGCGGGGCGCCGCCCGGAGAGGCGACTGCTGGGAGCTTGGATCCTCTGTCCTGGGGTGACCCACAGACCTCTCAGTGAGAAGGGTCCAACTCCTCCCTACGGGATTCCCATCTTCCTGCTCTCCCTCCTCTTTTCCCAACGCCCTCACCCCTCCCTATGTCCCCCAGATCCTCTCACCTACATCCTATATCCCAGTCCCCCAATATGTACTTTTCAACTTCACACCATGTCCGTGATCCTCCATCCTTCCCAGCACTTGTCTTCCTGCTCACCCTCCCTTTTCTGTTCACCTCCTCACCCCTACACATTCTCTGCTTTCCCACCCCACGGTTCCTCAGCTGGGCAGGTTTGAGAGGTGGAGTTGAGTAGTACAGATTGGGGGACTTGGATATAGGATGCAAACACCTATGCTTGGGCAGCACCTGGGATTGTAGAGAGGTTGGTTTGCTGACGGGAAATTTTAGTGAGTAGGACTTGGAAAGGAATTGCCCTGGGCTGAATAAACATTCACCTAGAGACTGCTCGGTCCTGGAAGTTTACACACCTTATTTAATCTGTTGCTACCGGGGCTGGACAGAAAAGTGACAGGACAACGATTCATGATTAGTCCCGACGTACACGCGGGGAAAGTGAGGCTCACAAATCTTACTGTTAGCATGTGGATTCATATTCAATAATGCATTCAACAGTTATTGAGTGCCTACTATTGCCACTGACAGACCATTAGGTGACATTTACTGAACACTTACCAAGTGCCAGGCACGGTAGTGTAGCACTGTATATGTGTTTTGATCGTCACAACACCCCCCAAAGTAGGTATTATTCCTATTTCCAAGGTGAAAAAACAGACTCAGCTCAAGGGACTTTCCAAGATCACAAAGCTAATGTAAATAGCAGAGCAAGGATTTGAACCCAATGTTTCTGGTCTTGACCCCTTTCCACTCTCTACACGAGCCAGATTGTCTAAATCCCAGTGTTTTTCAGCCTCCTGCAGGAAACCTGGGCCCACTCCTGGCTGCCCCAAATTTGCTGTGTGACCTCAAGCAAGTCATATTACCTCTCGGCCTCAATTTCCTTATCTGTAAACTTAATGTGTCCAAGTTTCCTTCTATCTCAGGATTCGGCTAATCCTATTCTTTAGGCCCCCGGGTCTCCCAACGGCCTGAGAAATGCCTAGAGAGAGGCCACAAAGAGACATCCTCAGAATCTCCAAAGCCAGAGGTTCTAGACTCTTAGTAAAGCAGGGTTGGTGGGGGTGGGTCTGAGAGCTGCCCATCTGGCCCAACAGGAGGCAGGGGGTGATTTAGGCCAGGGCTTCATGCTCTGGTGAGAAAATCCTGTCCCCGCCTAGTCTGAAACCCCAGAGGGACTCCTTAGCCCTAGCAACTAGGAGAAGGATCCAGGAAATAATACCCAGAGGTTTCCAGGGGGAGGAGAGAGCCGTGTTTTGGCCCCAGGAGTGGTGTTTCCAAAGTGTCCTCAGTCTGTGCAGCCGTGAGCCTCTGCCCATCACATCTACTTCCTGTTAATCTCATACCCTCTCTTGACCTTCTTTGCCGATTTAAACTAAATAATCCCTAACATGCCTTTCCTGTCACACCACTTGCTTCTTCTAAAACCTTCTGTGGCTCCCAAAGTACCACACTCTGTAACACAACATTTGTAGCCTTTTATGATCCAGCTGCAGTTCTCTCCAGCTTCATTCCCCCACCCCTTCTTCTCCTACCTGCACCTTGTGCTAAGGTCAAACTCCTCGTTGCCTCTCCACCACCACATTTTTGCTCAAGCTCTTCCCCCTGCCTGGAGTACCCTCTTCAGGCCTTTCTGAATTTAGATCATTCCTGTCTTCAAGATTCTATCCACCCCTCCTTCCTCTAGGTAGCCTTCCCTGTCCCCTCCCATATGTCCAGAGCTTCCTTGATGAACATTTATTTGTTCACTAAACAGAAAGTGTTTAATTGTGTGCTGTGTTTATGTATGTGTGTCTTCCCCAAGTGAATGGCATCTCAAGAGCAGAATCTCTGTCCATATTCTCCCCCCAGCCGGCCTGTGCTGGGCCTAGCACAGTAGTCTCTAATCAAAGGCTCAATAGTTAGAACTCAAGAAGGCTGGCTGGCACAGAAGTCTACGCCTGGCCCCTCTACCCTGAATACAGGAAGCACGCACTTGGGGACAGGGTTCTGGTTCCCACCGAAGAGTGTTCCTGGCTCTGGTACCGTAAATGACCCTGATTCTGCTCCCAACCTTAGCTGAACCCTATGTACAAGCTGCTAGGGCAGGTGCCCGGTCTTCAGTCTCTCTGTAGAGTCAGAGATACCCATGGAAGTAGGGAACTGAGGCCCAGTGGAATCCCATCCTGAAACTCCTGGGACCTGTCCCTCTCCACTGGGGAAACCTGACCTCAATTCATCCAAACTTATTATTTTATAGGTGGAGAAACTGTAGCACACTAAGACACACAGAGATCAAGGTACTTGCTTAGAATTATAGAGCAGCAGAGCCATCAACTGACACTGGCCTCAGAGAGTGGGCTTAGTATTTTGGGTCCATCGCCTATGCCTGGGGGCCATAAAAAGAGGCAATGAGCACCGTGTTGGGGGTGATCCTGGAGACTCATTTTCAATCATATATAAGGTGCCACTCCTGTATATGTACATGGATAGACACGTGCATCTCTGCATACACATGAAGGCATCCATATACAAACATACACATGTGCACATGAGCTCACACCAACAGGGTTAACACGTGCCCTTCTACTCCCTGCCCAGATGTAAGCACTTGCCCAATTTTATGGGTCCCAGGATTGGAAATCTAGAGGCCACCCTTTTATTCTTGTTTGGGCCTTGGCCTTGCCCTCACCAAACCCGGGAGGCTCCCTGATAGCTTGGGGCCCCCCACTTCAAACGGTAGAGATATATCAGCCTGGGTGTGTCCTTCACAGGACCTTGCTCATACGCAAAGGTATGAGCCTCCTGGAGAACTGGCTCACCACTCCCCCCCTCCCGACTTCCCCTCTAGATAGAGGGCAAGGCTGAGATGAAGCCAAGTGGGAAGCTTGGAATCTGAGTCAAAACCAGCAAGGCCCTATCATCCTAGAAGCAGAGCACCCCCCAAAACCCCCACTAGGTTTATAGAGTTAAACAAGTAATATTAATGATGATACTGTTGGTATTTCTATGTGCTAGGTAGTATTCTAAGCCTTTACCTGTTGATAACTCCTTTAGTCTTCATGACAATCCCCTAATATAAGTAATATTATTCTTCCATTTTCCTGATGAAGAAACTGAGACAGAGGGGTGGAAAATTGAATTGGTATGGCTGCCTAAATTTAAACATACTCCCAAGTTCTCCAAATAGATAAGCCTATATTTTAACAAGGGGCCATATCCCCTTGAGCTCTTACTCAAAAAGCTTTGTTGTTTAACCCAGGGATGTCTGAATTGAAGGTAACTTTGTGTGTGTGTACACCATGAAAAACCATAGTCTGATTGTCACTAAATCCAGATTCCAATCACGGTTCTATCAATCTTGGGTTCACTGCCTGGCCCTGGGCAAGTTACTTTCTTTGTCTGAGCCTCAGTTTCCCATTGGCAAAATGGCCAACTCCAAACTTTCTAAACAGCACTCCAGTCCCAGCCTCCAAGCATCTGGGTTTGTGTGAATGGTGCTTAATGGCTCTGATGAGGAGGAGTCTGTGGTCAGTACAGGGTTCATTTCAGGAAGAGGAGGCAGACAGCAGGGAGCCAAATGTATGGCTTAGTTTTAGCCCACCTGCTCCTGGTGTGAGAGTGGGGTGGTAACTCTGGTGTTCCAAGGATGTGCTTGTGAATGTGGACAAGTACACAAGTGAGCTGCTTTGGTGTGAGTGTCCTGCATGAATTCCCACATTTAGAACTTTTGAAGAGAAATGGTTGCATCCCTCTAGCTTTGAGGCTCAGGAGAAGAGAGTGGGCAGGAAGGTTCGCTCCACAGCAGGGGTCCCAACCACTCTTCCAGGAGCAAACAGATTCCCTGAAGCTCAGAGCACCGCCCTTTTCTGCTCACAGCTTCTCCTTGCCTTCCTGCCACCTCCAGATGCAATTCACACTGCTGGCCAGGCATCCTCTCATGGTACCTGGGACACAGTAAGCATTTAGTAAGTGCTGGCAGGAAGTGTGAATGAAGCTGCCCTCATCCACTGTTTATTCTGTCAGCACACCACACACACACACACACACACACACACACACACACACACACACACCCCTGTACAAATGATCATACTCCAACCGCCACCAGTGTTCATGTGTCTGGGATTTTTGCTCTTACCCTGTCCCCCTCATTCAGAACCCTGTCCACTAACCCACCTCATCTTGTGTCTAGATCCTCTCTATTCTTCAGGACTAATCAGCAACTCATATTTACTGAGCACCTACTATGTGCCTGTAATTCTCCAAGATGGACACTGTCATTCTCCCCATTTTACAGATGAGGAAATTTGGGCTCAGACTGCTGAGGCCCAAGATCACTGAGCTAACAAGTGTCAGTGCATGTTTCTATATATTCCACTATGTGTAGAAATATTAATTGTATGTATGTGTGTATACAGTAATAACTAGCATAAAAGTTATAAAGCCTATATGTAAAAAATTTACAGTATTTTTGCCTAACACTCCCATGTTTGCCTTGAAGGAGCAAACTGCTATGTTGTGGAGGTGGCCACATGGCAAGAATCTAAGAGAGGTCTCTAGAAGCCAAAAGTGGTCCCCAGCTAACGGCAAAAAATGGGGATCTAAGTAACATGGCCATAAGAAAATGAATTCCCGAGGGAGCCTGGAAGCCAAA